CCCTCTCCTGGATTCTAACTGTCCTTACGGGCCTAGCTCTTATCTCAACTCCTCCACGAACCTTTCCCTGACAATGTCCATCCATTATTTTTGAGTCTAGACAACTCGAAACGCCTGAAGGGAATGTCTAATCTGCCCAGTTAGAGGTTTTATTATTGTTTAGTCTTTTTTTCAGCTGTGCTTGACTCTGCGTGACCCCATCTGAGGTTTTCTTGGCAGAAATACTGCAGTGGTTTGTCATTTCCTTCTCCAGCTCATTTTACAGATGAGGAAACTGAGGCAAACAGAGGTTAAATGACTCGCCCAGGGTCACACAGCTAGTAAATGTCTGAGGCTGGATTTGAACTCAGGAAAACCAGTCTTTCTGACTCCAGGCCTGGTGCTCTATGCACTATGGTGGCCCCTTGCCGCCCAGTCAGAGCTTCCGATCCTTAAGAGCAGATACTTTGTAGCTTCCACAGCTTCTCCGGAGTCACCTTTCAAACTGCAGGTGCTTGACAGATACTTGTTACTTGATCCCAGACACAGAAGGCCTGGACTTTGAATTCTCTTGTCAATGGGAGTAGATTTCTTCCCATCTATGATCTACCCTTCCCTCATCATCCGTGGTCAACAAGAGTAATCGTTTCCAAGAGGGCTGGATGGCACTAGGGTGCGACACAGAAAAAGGTTCCAGGAGTTACTCGAGGGCAGGAGCTATGGTCTCCTAGAGCGCCAAGCCCTAGGTAAAAGCTGCTGTGCAGTCACTGCTGGTGAGACCTCTGGGATGAAGGGGGCACCCCAGAGCAAAGTTGGGGGGAAGGAGTACAGAGCAATCTGTCGAGGCAGCCATCCACAGCCAAAGCTGGGAAATGGAAATCTAAGGTTAAAAAAAAACCAAGAAAACAAAGAAAAACAGCACAAAGAAATGAACAGAAGCATGGGGGCAGAGTGTCGGTGACAACCACATTTTAACCCACGATGCCCTAAATCTAAAGAACATGGCTGAAATAGCGTCATGACGAGCAAAGCGACTGCACGGAGTCTGCGTGCGGTAAACATGTCTGGAGGATGTCAAAAAATTCCCAGCATGACAGGAGGCAGCATCCTTAATCAATCAAATTCGAATCCAATCAACTCAATCCAACCCTAATTAAGGATGGGCAGCCTTTGTTGTTTCCAGATCTCTTTAGGTCACATTTGTTTCCAAAATCACTACATTTTACAGATTTGGGAGTTCTCCCCTAAGCGAGGTCCAGGACTAAAAGCAGAAATAGGACAGGAGCAGTCTTACGAAAGGTCAGAACAAGAGCTGGATTATGACGACCCATAATTCATCTGTATCACACGTTCACTATCTCAAGTTACACCTCAACCATTTTTTAACTGGCGAATTCTCATGAGGATTTTTATCTTATGTGAGGTGGGAGAACAAGGTGGGCAGAAAAGCTGAGATCTGCAGTGAGAGGCCACAGAACGACCAAGGGGGCAGAGCTCTCTGCAGCAGGTGCTCCACAAGGATCGGAAAACCCTTCCACCTGAGTCCTCATCAAGGACTTACCAAGCCCAGGTTAGCACAGGGAGACAGACGAGAAGATCTTTGGACACTGGGACCCGGGCAGGAAAAGGTTCCAGATGTGCCACAGGGGCCCGACCTTGTGGGGGGTGTAGGAAGCGATGCCACGTGGCTGCTCACCACCAATGCTGGCTCACATGTCCAATTTAGGCAGGACAGGAGACCTGTGGCTGGGCCGGCAGCCCAGGAAAGGAGCAGCAGCATAAGCTGTGTAGTGTGGAAGGAGCCATTATGATGACAAGGACTTTCAAGACACAAATACAGAAAAAAATGACTCCAAAGCGTTTAAGTAAAGTCTCAAAGAAAAACACAGATTTAGCACAAGTTCCTGAAAGAGATGAAGCAAGAGTTAAAAATATAAAGAACATTAAAAAGATTTCATAAATGAAATAAGTGAACTAGAGGAAAAAACTGAAAACGAAATAAGGGAACTGTGGGAAAGTTGGAGAAGAAATGAAGAGTTATGGAAGGAAAAGCTAGAAAGAGAATTAACAGCTTGGCATAAAACTTTACCCATGCAGAAGACTCCTTGAAAAGTAGCATGGACCAGGGGCAGCTAGGTGGCGTAGTGGATAGAGCACCAGCCCTTAAGTCAGGAGGACCCGAGTTCAAATCCAGCCTCAGGCCAAACACTTGACACTTACTAGTGTGACCCTGGGCAAGTCACTTAACCCCAACTGCCTAAAAAGGAAAAAAAAAGAAAAAAGAAAAGTAGCATGGACCAATTAGAAGTCAATGACTCCATGAAATATGAAGAAACATTAAAAGAAAGTCAAAAGACTGAGGAAAAAAAAAGTGCAAGGTATCATATCAAAAAAAAAACAAAAACAAACTGACCTAGAAAGGAGTCAGGAAGACCTAAATTCAAATCTGTCCTCAAACACTATTTCCCTCAGTTTCCTCATCTATAAAACAGGATAGAGAAGGGAATAACAAACCACTCCAGTATCTTTGCTAAGAAAACTCCAAATGGGGTCAAGAACAGTTGGACACAACTGAAAAACAACAACTGCCCAACTCCAGGCCTAGCACTCTATTTATTTTGACACGGAGCTGCTCTAGATCAGAGTGAAAGAATCCACCAGTCATCTTCTGAAAGAAACCTCAACATGAAAACTCCCATGAACATGATAGCTGAACCCAGAGCTTCCAAGTCAAAGAAAAACATATAGCAAGGAACTAAAAAATAAGACTTGAAGCACTGGGGAGCCATGTCAGCATCAAGATGTAGCAGCCACCGCTAGAATGGAGTAAGAGAGCTTAAAATACAATTCTTCACAAGGCAAAGGATACCGGTGTACAACCAAGAGTAACTTACCCAGCAAAACTGAATATAATCCTACATAAGTGAAAATAAAAATAGACCTTTAATGAAATAAGAGGACTTTGTAAGCATTCCTCATAAAGACCAGAGCTACAAAGAAATTTTGAAATACAAACTCAGGAGGCGAGAGAAACACAAAAAGGTAAGTACCAATGAGTAATGAAAAGAGACTAAAAAAAAGAAATGCTATGTATTCATTTGTTATCTAACTAGTATAGTGTCCAATTCATAGATTCCAGTCAAATCTTTCTCCCTGAAACATGCTCTTCTTCTTAAGTAATTCTATACTGGCATTAATATTTTTTTCCTTAGTTCTATCCAGTGCTTCTTAAACTCTAGAATGGAGACCCAAAGTTTAAGAAGTGCTGAAGGAGCCGAGAGTGAAAAGTTTAAGAAGCCCTGCAATGGACTAACTCAATGTATTATGTCTCTTAGCAATATCCATGGCTTCAATTTGATGTGATGAATACCAAATCTATTATCTCCATACACTCTTCAAAGCCCAACTCAAATGTTACTGCCTTATGGAGTTTTTTTTTTCTGATTCTCCTCTTTCTGCATTCCAGCCAACCTGGACTAATGGCTCCTCCCTGAGGTAGCATCACAGTGGAAAGGACAATGAACTTGGAAGCAAATTGACTGGTTTTACACACCGCTTTACTTAGCACTTGTGTGACTGTGGGTAATTCAATTCCTCAAACATTTAATGCCTACTAAATGCAGTTAGATAGTGTATGAGATAGAGAGCCCCAGATCTGGAGTCAGGAAAACTGGAGTTCAAACCTCACCTCAGATACCTGTTAGTTGTGTGATTTTAGGCAAGTCATTTAACCTCTGCCTCAGTATTCCCATTATGTAAAATGGAGATGATAATAATAGTATCTACCTCCCAGGATTACGAGGATCCAATAAGAGAGTATCTGTCAAGTGCTCTACATAGATGTTAGTGATGATGATGATAATGATGTTAACATAAGGCTCTATGCTAGGCACTGGAGATATTAAACCAAAAATGAAAGAGACCTTACCCTCAAGGAGCCGCCTTTCCACTGGGGGAAGAGGGCACATACACAGGTAAGCAAGGCAAACACAAAACTGAAGAAAGTAATGGGGGAAATCGGTAAAGGCTTCATGGAGGAGCTAGCATCTGAGTGGGTCCTTTAAGGAAGAAAACGATTCTGGGAGATGAAGAGAGCTTGCGTGCCAGGCTTGGTGAATGGCCCCAATGGACAATTTAAGTTGGCAGAAAATCTAATGTTCATTTGATGGAATGGCTGGTTATCAATCTGGTTTGATTTAAATATAAGAATGTGTTAACAGGAAGAGTGTAAAATATGGTCAAAATGTCAGGTGGGAGCCAGCCTGTGGAAGGCCTTAATTGCCAGGCTAAGAAGCTTTTATTTTATCCTATAAGCAATGGAGAACCACTGGAGGTTTTGAGTCACGTCAACAAGCACCCTGACTCCAGATCCAGCGCTCTCCAAACAGGCTACGCCTCTCCACCAAGCCTTTATTAAGCACCTACTTACAAGGTGAAAGGCATAGCGCCGGTACGAGCTGTTCCACGTGAGGAACCGCTAAGTCGGTCTAGGAGATGCCCAAAGTCTCTGCGGATGGGCACGTTCCTCGGACAGCGGGGCAGAGTGGGCCGGGATGACGTCGGAGCGCCGAGGGGCCGCCTACCCCGGGCTGAAAGCACGGGCTCTGGGGGCAGCGTCCATCCCAGCGTGGGCGGGGCGAGCCTCGCGCTCTGCAGAAGCACAGCTGGCCCCCCCGACCCCCCAACCTGTCGGGGCCGCGGCCCTCGAAGGGCCTGGTCTGCCTCCTCCGTAAAGGAGAAAGCTGGGCTGACAAGGTGACCTCCCAGGCGCTTCTTCCTCTGGGCCTCAGTTTCCACATCTGTAAAAGGGGATGGGATGGGGGTGCTCTAAATGGCTTCCGAGGTGCCCTAGTCTACCCCGGCCTCTGAAGCTTACAAATTGGATGACTGTGGGCCTCAGTTTCCCCTTCAGTAACATGGGGGGAGAGGGCCTGGGACGAGGTATAGCGCTCGTAAACCGTATCCGACCAACCCCGCAACGCCGCGCCCTCCCCGCCCCAGGCCCCGCCCGGGATACGTACGGCATCTCGCACTACCGGAACCGGAATGGCTTCCACCTCCTCCGAGGCGCTCCCGCTCCGCCCCACGCTGGGGCGCTGTTCCGCGAATCCCCGCTGGCCGGAAACTGGGGCCTCTCCGCGAGGGCCAGGCGCACGCGCATGCGCATGCGGCCCCCTACGTCTCCGACGTTAAAGCCGCCTGCGCGAGCCCACGCTTGTGCCGCCACACCCCGCCCACCGCCCTCTCGCCACTTCCGACTTCCGGTGGCGGTCGTTGCCAGGGTAACGAGAAGACGGCGAAGGTGTTCAGGATCCGGGACCGAGGGGGAAGCTCGAGACCCTGAAGTGAAGAGGGTCGGCGGCGGCGCCTTTGCCTCGTTCGTGACCCAGAGCTAGGTAAGAAGCCGGCCACGGCGCCCGCCGCTCGCCCTGCTTCGGGGTCCTCCTCGGGGGCTTCTTCGGCGTGAGGGAGGGGCCGGCTGGGAGGCCCCCAGGGGGAGGGGTTCGGGGAGGGCCCCCCAAGAGTGACCCTGATGACCCCACCTGCGGCGGGGACCTCCGGCCCCTGGGGCCGCCGGGATGGGGGCTGCAAACTCCCCCCCCCTTACACAGACACACGTCCATCACCTGGCTCGGATCCAGCGCCTGCTGTGTGCGGGCCTACTGTGTGCGGGCCGGACCCGGCCTGCCTGGGGTGTCCTGGTGGCCAGAGCCCCGGGGATGCTCGGCAGCGTCACTGAGCATCGTCGTCGTGATCCTCGGCGTTACTGTTACTGTTTTATCGTTATTGTACAGAAGTAGAGCTCCCTCCTCACTCATGGGGGAAGAGGGGACAGGGCCTGGGCCTGCCGGGGGTGGCCTGGAACCAGATCTCCCCGGG